AAACTGCACCATTAAACGTAGTATTTTCTGCAGTGGTGTTTCCTGTATCATCAAACATAGGTGAGGCAGTAGGAGGAATATTAGTCAATAAAAGGTCATCATGATTATCGGTACCCACACGATCAACGCCGGAGAGATGGGAAGGAAAAAGAAGAATTTCTTTCTGAAGGAGAGCACTGACATTGGGATGAAGCTTGGCAAAAGGAAATTCTGTTTCATCGAACACAACATCACGAGAAATATAAACACGACCAGAAGAAACATCAAGACACTTGATACCCTTGTGTTGAGCACTGTATCCAAGAAAGACACATTGCTTAGAGCGAAACATGAGCTTACGATGATTGTAGGGACGGAGATTGGGCCAACAGGCACAACCAAAGACTCGAAGGGTGGTGTAATCTGGTGTGACATGCAACAGACGTTCAGTGGGAGTTTCATTGGAGATAGTGCGACTAGGCCACATGTTGATAAGATGTACAACAGTGAGAAAAACTTCATCCCAGAATTTGAGAGGCATAGAGGCTAAAGCTAAAAGAGCTAAGCCAACTTCAACGATGTGTCTGTGCTTACGTTCAGCTGACCCATTTTGCTGATGTGCATGGGGGCATGAGACATGATGAGAGATGCCTATCTTTTGAAAAAAAGAGTTAAGTTTCCCATACTCACCCCCCCAGTCTGACTGTACATCAATGATTTTGCTATCGAACTTTCGTTCAACAAGAGCTTGGAAGTTGTGAAAAACTTGAAACACGTCAGAACATTTTTTAAGAAGGTATATCCAAGTATACTTACTGAAGTCATCGATAAAACTCACATAATAAGAGTGTCGACCAACAGAAGTGGGTGAAGGACCCCAGACATCAGAAAAAATAAGTTGCAATGGCTTGGTAGACACACTAGTAGAAACAGGATAAGGTAACTGATGACTTTTTGCTTTCTGACATGAATCACAAATTGTTTCTGAGTTTCTCTCCCCAACAACTGGGAGTTTATTCCTACTAAGAATTTGATGAATAATAGTAAATGACGGATGACCTAGACGACTGTGCCACCTTTCAGCAGAGAGCTTGATGGCACCATACACTTGTTTATTGTATTGGCAGTACTGAGGAAGCAATGCATAGAGTCCTTCCACACAGACACCTCTATGAAGACTTCTCTTCGTGACCTAATCCTTGATCAAAAAGAAGAACGGGTGAAACTCAAGAAATACATTGTTATCAAGGGCAATTCTATGAACAGATAGTAGAGTTTTGGAAGCACTAGGAACATGAATAAACTCATTTATCTCAAGGTTTTTGTGTGGGGTTGTGATAAGTGATTGACCAATATGACTAATTTCCATACCTGCACCGTTTGCGGCGGTGTAAACTTGATCATGGCCACGATACTTGTCATGCACGGTTAGCTTTTCCAATTCTCCGGTGATGTGGTTGGTTGCACTCGTGTCCATGTACCAGTTGGTATCGACGCCGTATGATGTATCTGCAGCAGCTGCAACTTTCTTTTTCTGGGAATTATCATCAGCATAGCGCCAATCACAATCTTTGGCAATATGATTTGTTTTCTTACAGATTTGGCACTTTCCTTCATAGCCTTCATAACCTTGGAAATTTTGTCCCCTATTGTTGTTGGAGGAAGGACGCCGCTGGTTGTTGTTGTTGCCGGGGTGGTAGTAACCGCCGCCACCACCACCTTGGTAGCCACCACCACCATTGTTCTGGTGATAGCCGCCACCATAGCCGCCACCTCCTCCATTGTTGGGGTAGCCGCCGCCACCACCAGCTCCAAGATGGCCACTGTCACCGCTGCCTTGATAGCCGCCACCACCACCTGGGTAGCCGCCGCCACCACCTGAGTAGCCACCACCGCCGCGATATCCGTTGTTGCCCCTGCCTCTCTGAGATCGGTAGCCGCCCCTGTTGCCTCCCTGGCGGCCCCTGGAGGCAGCGTTCGCTGAAGACTTGAAGCCACCAGCGCCATTTCCATGATACATCTCGAGGCGCTGATCAAAGTTTGCGACCAGAGAGAAGAGATGGTCGACAGTAATGGGCTCGACGCGAACATCAAGGGCGGAGATGAGTGGTTGGTATTCCATGTCGAGCCCGGCAACAATGAAGGAGATCAGTTCCGGTTCCCCAATAGGCTTGCCCGCCGCAACAAGCTCATCGGAGAGGGAACGCATGTGCCCAAAGAACGCCGAGGCAGATTGCGTGCCCTTCTGCGCATTGGTGAGGGCAGCATGGATGTTGTTGATGCGGGAGAGGGAGACAGCCGAGAACATATTAGCCAACGCTGTCCAGATCGCGTGTGAGGTTTCCATGGACGCCACCTGAACAAGGACCTCTTTGGAGAGGTTTCGAAGAAGATAGGCGACGATTTGTTGATCCTGTACAAGCCAGGGGGCATAGGCAGGGTTCGAGACAACCTGATCCTTGCCGTCTTTGTCTTTGGTGGCTATGGTTTTGGGAGGCTCCTCTAGGGTTTTGTCGATGTAGCCATACAAGCCGGCGCCCATTATCTGGGATCGTGCTTGAGCTCCCCAGAGGACGTAGTTCGTCCTGGTGAGAGGCTCGGATGTGTTGTAGTTGAGGCCAGAGGTAGGAACGGCGGTGGAGGTGGACATGGTTGCGAGGTGGATCGACGAGGATGAGCTAGATGAGATGGAAGAGGCCTGCTCTGTATACCATGTAAGTTGATGATGAAGCGTCTCAACCCTCAACAGAGAGGGCCGCGTGATCTTATATTGATAGCGAGAGGTTTCCCTCGAGGTATTACAGGAGTCGGTTGAGGAGACCAGAAAGATTACAAGAGGGAATCCAGATAGATGAGAGAGAGAGATAAAAGGAGAGTCCCTCTACAACTAATCTATCCTATACGTGAACCTCATGCCTAGATATGACCAGAATAGAGATCGCTACAACCAGGGTCTACAAGACCATTACATAATCATGTTTAACACAATTGTCTCAAAGCATTCCGATGTTTTTTTGTGAGGGTGCACAAGACATGCAGTTACATCCCCTAAAAATTTCAGACCTAAATTCGAAATATACATGGAGAAACTAAAAAAAATATGCAAATCCAGCATGAATAATGTCACAAAAAGACAAGCATAAATGACACTATTTGCATTTGGATTTGTCTTTTTAGTTTCTCAAATGTAGATTTCCTATTTGGATCTGAATTTTGTAGGGGTGGTAAACACGTGTCTTGTGAACATTCACATGTTCTTGGAATTTTTCGAAGCATTTAAACTCGTTTTCCAATGGATGCATGGGGCATGTGAGAGTTGGTCACATGTCAGCTCTAGAATATGATCGTACTGTGCAAGAATAAGTGATCCTTAAGCTAGCTGAGCGTTTTTGGCTTTGTAATTTCACTTTCCTTGCACCTTCTTTTGTGTAATTCTTCATGGGCAGGAACAAGTGGTATTTACATATTGTTTTTCATTTCATTTCATTGGATTACCATAAATTTCGAGGGTTTAGGTCACCGGTCTCGTATTTGTACTAGCAGCAGTGATGTATCTCGTTCAGCCAGCCAGTAGTTTATAGTCAAAGGATTAACAAATGCGTCAGATGATGATAGTGGCGTTATTTATTTGTAAATGTGGTGATCATGTTAATCCTTCACATAACAATGATCTTCTTTCTGTTTGGCATCCAACATGTTAGTTTCTGCATTTTCTTAACAGCGCACGGGTGATTTTCCCCATTTTAGAGCCGATTGGACGTCAGGGTATGATCGATCAGCACCTTCACTCTCCCTCAATCTCTCCCCCACGAGTAGCTCGATGATCATTTTCACATATCACAATCGCCATAGGGCAGGGAGCCATCCGGGGGAAAGATCCCAACCCTGGTTAGGCTAGTCTGTAGGCACACAGCGCAAGTAGTCCGCGGGGTCTGATCAGCGTGAGCAATTTCAGGTCAAGTCACGTTTTTTTTTTTCTCAGGCCAATGTCAGCCACCATTGGAGATGGCAAGCAAGCCGATTTTGGCACTCCGCATGGTTAAACAGTGGGCTGCGCCCCAAGGCTTTGAGGGAGGATGCGTGGATCGCTCAGATTAACATCTCTAGTGGCATCACAATAGGACGAATTTACCACTCGGCGGACCCCATTGTTCGGAAGCTCACGGCTGTTTTTCAGCACCATTTCAATCTCCATGAACGTCGTGGCTCAAATTGGTGGAACTGCTACACTGAGGTAAACATCGCACCTGATTCCTGCAAGCTTTGTTGTGGTCATTCAAGTCCTGCCTCCGGAGCAACTGGCCATGATTCTTAGTAATAGTACCATTCAGTCTCAAGAAGCATTTCATAAAATCTTCCACCATGACATTAGCATGAGCATCCTTGGCTAGCTGCATGAGAGTATCTTGACGCACGGTGCTATCCATGCCTCTACCTGGCCATGGGATACCCGGCCTGAAAAAGCCCGACCCAACCCGGCCCTGTCTTGCCCGCGGGTCAGGCCTGGGCCTAGGTTTGGAGCCCAAAGGCCGGGCCTGGGCCTGCCATATTTGCGATTTAACGAAGAGGCCCAGCCCAAGGCCCGGTGGGCTTTTACGTTGACGGGCCAGGCCCGGGCCTGTGTTTTCTGCTTCGGGTTTGGTTAGGCCCGGCCCGACGGATGGCCTGGTATATCCATGACCCCTAACAAGGCTAGCAGAATATATAACACAAATTCCACACAAACCAATAAAACACCACTATCTTTGCATATGTCAATTCTGAAATGATACAACAATAATAGTGCAGATGACGCGCACCGTCTAATAGAACAACAAAAATTCCACACAGGCAATTACATGACGGTTTTTGCATATGGCAATTTTGAAATGATACAACAAATAGTTCAGATGACGCGCACCACTGGGATAGAGTATTACACTCGATACAGTGCAGCAGAAATAAAGCTTTTCAAGAGAAGAACAAACAAGAACGCTCGCACGATAGTGGTACATGAAAGCAAGCAGCTAGAACTGAAATTACTACACATCTCCTTGGGATGGTTGCCGCATGGGCATGGTGTTGTTACCTTCCTCCCTGTTAATCTTGAGGATGCCAGCATGAGTAAGGAGGACCCAGATGTGGGTGAGAAACTCTCCTCCCTTTGCGAGAAGTTCCATGTGTGCTTTAACATTGTCTGATGGTGCGATGTAGAGGATCTTCTCAGCCCAGAAATCCGCAAGTATCTTCCAGCGAAGAGCACTGCTCGGATTGCGCTCTAGCTGCTTTCCAAGCTTCACACCTCTCATGAAGATGCTCCTGTCTTCCACTTGGTCTTGTAAACCATTCATAGCCTGGTGAATATTCTGGGATGCATCAATAGATCCAGAGGCCAGGGGTAGAAACCCGTTTACCAAAAGGGAAAAAACATTCCACCATTTTAAACCAAGTCCAACATTCCGGGATCCTAGAACTTCGTATGCTTTGCGTTCTACATCAACCATGGCCAGCTTTGTATCTCCGAAGTATCCTGGAAGCAATTCTGGTGCAGACTTCATCAAGTATGCACAATATCTTGATAGGCTGACTGAAACATTCTTGTTGAACTTTGTGTCTTGTTCATTTTCAGATGTCCCATTCAGTTGCTCCCCGTCTCCAGTAGGGGGAATCATATTGCAGTAATCAGTGGCGATGTTCCAAATTAACATGATCTCTGCTTGTGAATGACCATGCAATGCCCAAGAAAACTCTGCAAGCACACCGTTCCTCTGTAATGACCCTTCTCCATTAGTTGGTGGACCGGCGCATGATATTAGGGACCTAGCAATAGCCCGCTTTACTGTCTGCAACTTGTTCACTGGGTAACAGTCCCCAGACGAATCAGCGGCGGTAATGTGTGGAATAATCGAGTACTGACCAATCTTATTCTTCCAGTACCCAAATATTTTGAATCTGCTAATATAGCAGATAAACTTCTCAATGAAAGCATTGTGTTGATAACAAGATATTTTGAGATAGCTACAAGTAACTGACACCTTGCACCAATCCGAGGCCAGATAGAATGCAGCTTGAAGAAGTTCAGTGAGAAGGAATGTGGCCAAAACAAGGAGAGTGATGATCTCGTCAGCCCTTTTGCTGTGCACTTCAATGACAGCTTTAAGTGTCTTGACAGATAGTGTACTCTGCACGACAAAGGATACACATGTGGCAACAAGAGCAATCCTCACAAGGAAGAGAAAGAAGAATACTCCCTCAAGTTCAAAGATGATAGCATGTTTTGTAAAGAAGTAGTCATGGCAGAACCCCAACTCCATTTCAACAATCCGGAAAGGTCTCTCATAGTCATCCTGATTTTGTAGTAATCCCTTGAAGACAAAATCACGGGTTTCATCAAGGTGTTCCTCGGCGAATGACAACCCATAGTAGCGCCGCTTCAATAGCTCATACATGGCTTTAGCCAGACACAAGTCCTTGAGCTCCTTGCAGTGAACAGTACCTGAGCGGAGGAGCCTGCCTTCACAGTGCCAGATCTGGTCGATGGTGACACGACCCCAAAGTCCATAAATTTGAACGGGGTACTTGTAGCCTTTCATGGTGGCAGGATCGAACCCATCACCATCATCAGCAGGCAGGTTCTTCATGAACTTGGCAACTCCTCTGGCAATGAAATAGCCAACCTCAACCAATACGCATGCAAATTCTCTACCTATGAGTCCTGTAAAAATGACAGTGGCAGCCAGATAAGTGAGAACAGTTGCAGGAGACTTAATAGTTGCAAAGTTGTTGGAGGCTCGGTAGGAATTATCCGTGCTATAGGAGAAAAGTAGGCCCGAGATTGATATAACATAGACGAAATACTGGAGAAAATTGAAAAAACTTCGCTTCCATTGCCTGTTGTCGTTGAGCTCATAGGCCTTGACTGCGTTGGTGCACCCAGCGGCCATCAGCAATGAGACAGCCCAGATGGGGTACATGACATTCTTCACCGGAGAGGACTGCATCAATCCCAGGGTGTAGGCGATAGCTGGGAACGACACAGCGTAGGTCACCCACGTACCAGCTTGAACCAAGAAGTTGGTCGACTGCCGCCTCAAGGACCCAAGGATGAGCTGCAGGAGGAGCAGCAATACGATCCCTGACGTGAACGCCTCCACCTGGATGATGATCCTCCGTGGCTTATTCAAGAAGGGGGAGAGAGCCTCCATCGCAGCCGTCATGTTGATGGATCTTTGTGGCTCCATCACACTACCTTATGTGATGCTTAATTTGCTATGGCGGTGTGGCGTCTTGGATCTGAATCGAAGAGGATTGCTGTTAGCTAGCTAGGATGTCTAGTCCAAGCTTAGTTGTTTCCAGGAGGAAGAGAGCTATGATATGCTGCGTGCCTGCGTGTATAGAAAGTATAAGTTATAGTGGTTGCCTCTTCAGCGCGAATAGAGCTACTGGATCTGAGACAATACCAATACAATAAGACACGACTAGGGAGTACTGCTTCGCAAGGTCTTCCATTTGGTTCGAGGTAGCTGCTCCCACTTCAATGTCAACGAAGCCATGTGGATTGATTAGTTTCCCAGCTAATGATGATGAGTATAATAAGGCGTCTTCAAAGTGGACCCTCAAACTACTCGCAACCGTATGGACTGCATGGTTCGGGCATGTTTAACCATCCAACGTGTGAATGTATCGGTCCGGACACACTTTTTCTCGCAAAGTCCAAACAAACTAGGGAATGGGCCGGGGGGCTTGCGGGAGTTTGGGTAGCAGCCACGTAGGATTCCGACACCCATGGCCCACCCCAAACCCCTCCCGGACCCCGTGCCTCCACCCTCCTGTCTTTCTGTGCATCTATTTTCTCTCTTGCCTCCACCGTCGCTCCACCACCCAGGCTGCCCCGGCACACCATTGTCGGAACTCGACGACTCAGTCTCCTCCAACGTTACACCCAGGCTCCACCCCCGCTTGTCCTCCGCCGACGTTCCACACATCTTGTTAGAGTACGTAATGGGCCTAATGGGCCCATTAGTCTTAGGGTTAATTAGAGATAACCTTGCCTGGGAGTCAAGTAAACCTCTCTATATAAAGAGAGGAGATGTATCAATCTAATCAAGCAAGAATTAAGAAGGAAATCCCTTCCCTCTTGCCCGGCCGTGGGCAAAAAGGCCCCCGGCCGGCCCTCTCGCGCCCTCCTTCTAGCAGCACCATAACAATTTGGTATCAGCTAGCTTTGGTTCGATCATGTCTTCACCGCCGTCAAGCCCGTCTCTTCCGCTGCCGGTCACCTTGTCGCCTCCGGCGACCACCACGGTCATCGTCCCGCTCCTGCCCGCGCCGGGGTCCTCCGTCGCGCCCGCCCCCGCCGTCCTCACCTGGGAGGAGGTGTCCGGGGTGCTGCGGGACCTAACCTAGGCAGTCCAGGAGATCCACTTGTTCTTGGCCGGGTCCTACGGGCCACACCCGGCTGCGACGCCCATCGCCGCCCCCGCGCCGCCGTGGCTGCCGTGGCAGCCGCCGCACCAGGCGGCCTTCGCCGCGCTCGTCGGGCCGTTGCAGCTGCCATCCATCGCCACCACCGCCCAGCCCTGGCTGCAGTGTCAGCCGCCGCTCCTGGCGGCCTCCGCCGCGTCACCGCAGCAGCCGCTGCCGCTGCCCGGCGCGGAACCGCAGCAGCCGCTGCAGCTGCAGCAGCCACCGCCGGTCAGCTCTGCCGTCTAGTATGGGATGCCCTACAACAGGAGTGCGACGACCTCGTTCCCATCAGCGCCGCCGCCATCCCAGGGCGTCCACATCCAGCAGATCAAGTCCCCGCCGTCGCCGTCATCGCTTCCGTCTTGGATCGCTACCAGCCACGTGTCGGCGGCGGTGAGGCTGCACGCTGCTGCACGCGGCCTCCTAGCGTGTCGGCGTGTGCGGGAGATGCGTGGTCTGCAGCTGCCGCTCCTCCAAGTTGCCCTTCGCTGCGCAAAGGACCTCGATCTCGTCCGCTGCGTCAGGGTTCTTGGGCATGCGGTTTTCCCCGCGGGCAGCGACCTCAAAGTCTGCGACATCGGCGGTTGGGGGGGCACCCTCCTCGTCATTCTCCATCGCAAGCTCTCCACTCTTCCCTGTGCCGCGCAGACCAACAGCCATCCAGCGGGGAGAAGGCAGGGTGTCACCGACAGGAGCGCACCGCGTAGCACCACTGCTTTCCGCCGCCGGCCGCCGCGAGGGCGCCTCTACTGGTCGCTCTTGCAACCACTTCCAGGTGGCCATACACATGCACTCCTTTGGTCCAGGTGGTGTCCATGGGATCCAGGTGGCTGTACACGTGCACGTCCAACGTGCGGATGGTGTCCACTTTTTGTTGAAGGGTCCAAAATAAAGCGTCCCAGTCCATTTCAGGTTGAGAATAATAAAACAAGCCGAGATGTAAAAGGCTTGTTTTTAGGTGTTAGGTTTGTGTTGCGTCGAGTCATGGTTATAAGTTGGTTAGGCTGCAGCTCGAGGACAAGTTGCATGTCCAGGTGGGGTGTAGTGTTAGAGTACGTAATGGGCCTAATGGGCCCATTAGTCTTAGGGTTAATTAGAGATAACCTTGCCTGGGAGTCAAGTAAACCTCTCTATATAAAGAGAGGAGATGTATCAATCTAATCAAGCAAGAATTAAGAAGGAAATCCCTTCCCTCTTGCCCGGCCGTGGGCAAAAAGGCCCCCGGCCGGCCCTCTCGCGCCCTCCTTCTAGCAGCACCATAACACATCTCCTCCGTCCGCTGCACAGGTACCATCCACCCCTACGGTACTCACCATGCCCAGCAAGTGTTCGGTGAAATGCCCGTGCTAATTTTTTTGTCCCTTCTTTTTTTGAAGCAATGGATTCGGATATGGAGTACATATACGAGAACTATTTGAGTCATCCGACGGCTCGTCCGATGAGGAGGACTACACGGATGAGACGGCGAAGATGCAGGCGGTCATTGCAAACATAGAGCGTGCGGAAGAGGATGTTCACAATTTCAAGGGATCGATCAAGGGCCATTTGACGCTGATGGATGACTACTTTGCCCTGATGCCCTATTCGCTGACAATTTAGCCGGCGCTTTTGGCTGCCAAAAAATGTTTTTGATCGTCTCTACCATGGTGTCCAGTCCTTTGATAACTACTTCATCTTGAAGACAGATGTTGTGGGAAGGATTGGGTTCTCTGGTTACCAAAAGTGCACGACTGCACTGCGGATGCTTACATATGTCATAATTGCTGATTCATGCGACGAATACCTACGGATATTTGAGAGCACATGCAAAGATGCCATGGTAAGATTTGCTACTGTTGTGGTCTCGGTGTTTGGACCTCAGTATATGAGAGAAGCAACTGTCGCGTACACCGACAAGATCTTGGCAATTTGAAGCTAGAGGGTGGCCAAGTTTGCTCGAATCTCTTGACTGCATGCATTGTAGATGGAAGAACTGCCCAAAAGCTCTACAAGGGCAATATCAGGGTCAGGTTAAGAAGTCCACCATCATTCTTGGAGCAATTGCATCACATGATCTTTGGATTTGACATGCTTTCTTTGGCATGCCCTGGTCTCATAATGACACCAATGTGCTGCAGTGATCCCCATTGTTTGCTAGACTGACTGGAGGGAAAGCTCCTCCTTGCCACTAAACTGTCAATGGGCATGAATACAACATGGGGTACTATCTGGTCGAAAATATATATTCTCCGTGGGCTACCTTTGTCAAGACTATCTCTGATCCAGTTGGTCAGAAAAAGTCTCAGCTTAACCAAAGAGAAGAAGCGGCTAGAAAGGATATTGAGAGGGCATTTGGAGTTCTGCAGGTTCATTTTGCAGTTGTTCGTGGACCTACTAAATAATGGGATCCAGAGACCTTGTGGGAGGTGATGACATGTTGTTGATCATGCACCATGATCATAGGAGGATGAGGGTGAGGATGCTGCCTCAGCCCTTGAATTTCAGAACATGGGTGAGCCTATATCGAACTTCTAGAGAAGAAATCGGACACATTTGATGAGTTTGTTCAAACGCATCAAAAAATCCTGCATCAAGCAATTCATGAGCAACTGAAGGAAGATTTGATTGAGCATATGTGGGCGGTTAAACGGGACAACTAGTACCATCAACAATAACAATGACAACAACAAAGCTTTTAGTCCCAAACAAGTTGGGATAGGCTAGAGCTGAAACCCACAAGATCTTGCAACCAACTCATGGTTCTAGACAAGAATAACAAGCTTCCACACACCCCTGTCCATGGGTAGATCTTTGGTGATACTCCAGTCCTTCAGATCTCTCTTTACGGACTCCTTCCATGTCAAGTTCGGTCTACCCCGACCTCTCTTGACAATATCAGCATGTTTTGGCCGTCGCCTATGCATTGAAGCTTTTGGAGGCATGCGTTGAATATGACCAAACCATCTCAGACGATGTTGGACAAGCTTCTCTTCAATCGGGGCTACCCTAGCTCTATCTCATATATCATCATTCCGGACCCGGTCCTTCCTTGTGTGGCCATACATCCATCTCAACATGCGCATCTCTGCCACACCTAACTGTTGAACATATGTCGTCCTTTAGTTGGCCAACACTCCACGCACCCCTGTCCAAGGCTAGTTCTTTGGGGACAACTACTAATGTCCTAGTTAAATTCATGTTTGAACTACTATAATTTGAATACTTTGCTGGATTGTAATATTTAAATTAGAACTACTGCTGCATTTGAACGATCTTTAGCTAAACTGAAACTAGATATGCAACTATTTAGAGTGTGCAGACTGGGAAAAAAATTGGGGACGGATGTACGCGGCTAGCTTGGATGGCCGGCTCCCGCAACCATGTCCATGGACTGATCCTCCCTTGTCCGCGGACGGAAGTGATGTCCTGTTTAGGGGTCAGCGTTGGAGATGCCCTAATCCCGCCGTAGTAGCATCAACATAACATATAGGTACTATAAACAGCGCTTTGATCGAGAGACTGAGGAGGCAAGCCAAAATATTTCCTCACTTGGGTCTACATTCAAATTTGTGAAATAGTCGTGCTATGCAAACAACATAACGGCACAGATTCCTGCATGACGATAAAATCCAGCCGGTCATGCATAGGATTGAAAGGGCACCAACCGCTGGATTTGCTGGTCGTGCAAAGATCGGGCACTTAAGTGTCGTGTGTGGAGCAGTTTTGTTTGCCAAAATACCCATGCTTTTGCACTCACATTTGGAATGCCACCAATTTGGCCGCATATGGCTTGCCA